CGTCCCCCGGTAGATGTTCGAGGGTGGTGGGAACTGCCGTTCTCTCCCCGGCGGGGAAGCCGTTCGGTCAGAAGGCGCTGCTGCTACGATCTCCGCCCGCCGCGACCTAAAAGGTTAGACTTGAGTTCAAGCGACCTTGATCCCAATCCTAGAATGAAGACGGGAGCCCGTGTGTTGCCTCAGAGGTTACTGGGTGGGGGGAAACGTAGGCAGGGACGGCTTCTCGCACGTGAGAAACGACGAGAAATCGTCCCGGAGCCCTTTCTAGACGCCCGTTTTGGTAAGAGTGAACATTGAACAAGCTGTGGAGCGTGTGCGCGGAGGGCTTTTCCCCCAGCGATCAGCTGGAGCGGAAAACTTTCTGGAGCCACCAAGGCTTCGCCTTCTATGGCATTCCTCCTCCTGTAGTGTATCTCTGTTGCCAACGCCGCCTGGAAAGGGGGATCAGAACTTCCTTTTTGTGGGGTATCATGAATATTACCAAAATAAGTTTTGAATAAGTAATCTCAGAGGCAGATACTGTAATAATGTGGCATCTCTGCTCTTGAAACTGCCAGCCCCCCCCCAAAAAAAGTTTATGGTGGGTTTATTCAGCTGGCTGGATGGGGGGAATAGCAGAGGATGCTTGTGACCGAGGGAGTAGTCGAAATTTCTCCAGTCTGATGTCTTTTGGACAATCCAGGCCACTGGTTGTACCTGGAGAACATTCATAACATCTGAAGCTAGACTAGAGAAAATAACTTTATGAAGTTTTCAGTGGGGTTTCCACCAGTGGAGGAAGATGCAACAGAAGAGGAGATATGATAAGATAAAACGTTGGGGTGGGATATGGATAGTGGTAGCCTAAGGGAAGGAAAAGAATAGCCCTGCATAACTTTAGATTGTCTCACTTGTGCACTGAGAATGGTTCCAACTTCCTAGGAGATATCAGTTGGCTCTTTGGAGGTGAAAGGAGATAACTTTGAATATGTTTTCACGTGTAGTCTCCTTCCTCATGACTAAATACATGCCAGTGTTGAACCTGTACACTGAGGCAGATTCCAAAGCTTGCTCCTGACCCTGTGTTCAAATTACGCCGGAGAGACTCCCTCCTGGGAGCAAAATTCCAAGCCATCTTTGCCCAGATGCCCTCCGCAGGTATGGGATTTCAGTCTCCCAAATGTTTGCACCACTCAGCTGCAAGGCTCTAAGATGCCAGGGAAGGATACCAGAAGCCATGCTTTTCAGGGAGGATTGGGGCAAGGACCTGAGAGGATCTCCTTGTCCTATGCTAAGAAGGAAATGGCAGTGAAGCATGAAGGCTATTTCCATTCCTGGCTCAATATATTTGTTTAGCAGTGCAACAAGGGAAGCAGTTGGCACAAGGGGAAAAAATATAGAAAACATGGGGTTCAGAATAAGATGAGTTGCAAGAGAAAAAGACTGCAGAAATGCAGTGAAAAGTTTCACTGGCTATCAAAATTAACTCTAAGACAGAGAAAGCTATCTTATGCCATGTAGCCAAACACAGATCACTCTCATGGGTGTTGGTTACTCTCCAAAGGCTCATCTCTGTTGACATCCCCTCTGTTTCTTTACAATACCTCTGTTTCATCCTTTTAACTGGCATCTCAGGAATTAAACAGAGACACTAATACATGGAACATGTATACATAGTACTAAATCACAATGCAGTTTGTGTGATTTTGGCTTGGTGTACTATATGAATATGCCATTGTAGTTTGTATATCACATTTTATGGCTTAGCACGTTGCCTAAACCCAGCCAATTGTGGAGTGTAGCAGTTATGATTAAACAAACCATGACTTATCATAATGTATGAATCCACTCTATCACTGATACGTGGTACTTTTCCCATGTCTGTTTTTCATGAATAACAGAATGCAGACTTTAAAATCTTCTGGAAAAGGGGGGAAAAAGGAAGTATACAGCTTGCCTGCTGTTGCATGAGAGTAATATTACCTACTTCAGGGCTTTCTCTACTGGCACCTTCCATGGCACAAAAAAACGCAGGAGCAATTTTTGCATTCTGATGTGTTTCCACAGTGTTGCCTTCATCCCATTCCCAGCCCACAAGTGAGATAAGCTTAAGTCATCTTATCTGCTTCATGTTGAAGTAATGCTTTTTTTGTTTCTTTTGCCTATCCTGTCCAGGGTTGGAAAATCCAATTATTCTGGCTGGATGTCAGATACTTGCAGTGATTTGAAATAGAGGTAAAGGAGGTAGGAAAGGATTCAGCAGTGGAGATAGCATTGGAGCATTATCTGCAGGAGCTTTTTTTACATTTTTCTGGCAAAAGCAGCCTTGCACTGCAAGCTCCAGCCCATTAGTATGTGGATCTGATGTACATAATGCATGTACAAAAAGGGATGGAGTTTGCAGTATTTGCTACGTATATGTAGGGATGTGGGTCTATACATATGTTGTTCATAGTATGTTTAGGTGTGCGTCATGTATGTGTTTCACTTTGAGAGCAGGCAACTAAATTTCATTTTTGATGTGTGCCATTGTGCCCACAGTAAAAAAATGACAATAAAGGTTATCTTATCTTATCTTTCATCCTCGTCCTCCTCACTTGAATGCTACAAATATGGATGGGAAGTATTTGTGTCTTCTACTTTCTATATTATTGTTTATTTTAATAAGAGCAAAATGAGAATATAAGGAAAAGAAACTTCCTCCTGTTTCTTCCATGAAGAAGAACAAGACAGCCACAGTTCAAATCTCATATGGCTTTAAGCTATGTTTTCTTGCTGGCCTTCTCCATTTATACAGGGAAATAATTGTAGAATTATTTTGGGAAAACTTATCCAGAATGGCCCACCAAGCACTCTCAAAAATACTGTATAAATGCTATGCCAATTTGCACAGTGTGTAGATACATTTACAATTGTACATCCTTTTGAGAAGAATTTGGAAGACCCAGACTTGATGGCACACAATCATTCAATCAGTCATTTCCAAGATGTAAATTCAAGATCCCCCCCCCCCCCCCCGTTCTCATCAGAGCCAAGAGCCTGTGAGCTTGGGGACTTGTGGTTCCAGAATTGAGAAGAACCACTTGATCTTGAATGATAGTCAAAGGCTGACATCAGTTGCAACTTTTGGTAATAAACGCCTTTAGCCCTCAATTGTCATTTTAAGAGTCTGAGTATTTAAGCTCAGAGCTGTAGAATTTGGATTTTCTTGCTTTTCTATCCTGCTTTTTGGTAGCATCAGGCTCAAAGTAAGAAAACCCCCAAAGCTTTTGCACATTCTTTTATGTCATTTTAATTAATCCTAATAAAGGCATAATACCTGTGGGGCTTAGACTTTTGTTTCCTGATAATGGGCAGGAAATATGGATTAATGTGTCTCCCTGACTCTCTCCACATGAACTTTCAAACCCCTATGGAGAAGGAGGGAAGGGAAGGGTTTTGTCTGATGAGTTTTAAAAATGAGAGTAAAAACTAGGAAGAAGGCTTAGGAAATTTTGAATCTGGAGTCCTAATGACTGGGGTGAAAGTAGGAGGCTGAGATTTGCAAAGGCAGTGATTAGGAGAGTAATATGGTTCTGCGCATGTTCTCCATTTGTTTCTGCATTTGGAGAGTGTTCCTTTTAAGGCTTACGATGCAGTTTTGTATGTTTATTGCATCCAAATGGCAGAAATTGATTTCACCAGTTTGGGGGCATAATTAAGCAAACTGGGAGCTACCTAACCTGACCAGAAAGTCTGGATGTAACTTTCCAAGATTTCTTTTTGGATTCTTCTATAGCTCTGTGTGCCAGGGATTGAATGTATAATCTTCTTAAAAATTAAACAGTATACTGAGAATGATGGCCTTTCCCTAAAAGGGGCATTCGCATATAATTACCACATTTGTGAGTTACATTTATCTTGTTTTTAGTAATGCATGTAAAAGTGCCTTGACCTAGGAATTACTTAGCTGCTGGCTTCTCTTTTATAACATGAGCCTAAAATTATTATGTTAATCATTTTTATATTGTGTGATTTTGGAAGATTACATGCAGTGGTGGGATTCAGCCTGTTCGCACCAGTTCGGCAGAACCGGTAGCTAATTTTTTGTTGCCCAGGCCCAGAATGGACTTCCGGAAGTGGCATCCACACAGAGAACTGGTTGTTCACATATCTGAATCCCACCACTGATTACATCGTGTATTTTTTAAGATTATTAAAAGCTGGGATTCTTTCAATAATGTCAAATACATAATTGTCTTTCATTTTGCATGCACATAGCTTCTCTCTTCAATATTCCCTGCCCTTGAATCTAACATGGGAAAAGAGGTTCCTCCCCTAAAAAAAAGGGAATTGACTTGCATGTATTCTCATCTACAGGATGTCTTGACATGCTAAGTATAGAAGGGCAGTTCACCTTCGCCACAGACCAACCCCAGATGCATTGTGCTACATTCTTCATAGGAGAACCAGAGGAGTTCATCAGCATAGATTTTGATTTTGTCAACATTGACTGTCAAGCTGGAGACTTCTTGAAGGTATGAGGTTGTCCGCAGACTGAAAGTTGCTATATATCAGACAGAGGTGAAGGAATTCACACCACAAGTTAACTTTTCTTTTACAAAAAAACAGGATATATTTGGCACTAGTAAAGTCAAAAAATCAAAATAGAAGGTAACGATTCAGACGTTCGCTTTTGAGGTTTCCAAACATGGTGAGTGGAATGAGGTTGGCTTTGGGTCCAAAATCCCTCCTCTACAGTCTGCTTCTGGTAGCCTTGCTACTTAGTATCATAAATTTTATTTTATTTTTTATTCATTCCACTTACATTTTGTTTTCAAGGATACCCACACTTTCCCCTTTTTTTCATTTTCTTCTAGTTAGACTAGCAGTTGTGGCTGGGTAAAAATTTAGACTTCATCAGTTGTAGCTCAACCCTCAATCATTATACCACAATGTCTTTCATAAGTTTGAGATTCAGTAGGGAATATTTTACTTTTAATAATGAAATTAAATATTTAAGTAGGTAGAGATAAAATATTAACAAAACATTGTTAGAACTTCTGCAGGCAATAAACATAGAAATAAAGAAGGAAGCTGATAGCCCACAGAAGATATGGTTATGGGAAAGATACCATAAATTTATCATAATACTTATACATTGGCCAGAGTTTAAAGTATTGCAAGAAACTTTGTTCTGTTGCTACAATAGATGGAGAGAACTTGCTATCCTTTAGGTGTTGTTACCTTAGCATATTATCTGGAGAAATAATTACATTTTCTAGGATAAAATGCAGCATAGGAAACCATCGCCTCTTTACCCAAAACATAAGCCTGAAGTGAAGTCCAACCTGTAGATCATGTGAGGCCCCAAACCCAAGAATGGCACATGAGTTTTCCAAGCTGAGTTCTTTATTGGTTCCACACCTAGAGACAGAATCTTGCCAAAATGAGGCTCTCTACTATCTGCATTTACCATATACTCTGAAAACTACTAGGGAGAGGCTTCGCCCTCTTTCTTTCACACAAAATATCTGGACTGGGTTGTCTCTTATTCCTGTGTAATGCATCCCCTCCCACCTGGGAATCCCTTCTACTACATTCCATCACAGATAACCACTATACACCATGCATTTGTTGCTTGAAAAATCAATTGTCTGCCTTGTCTTTAAATGGAATTTATTAGTAATTCCTAAGAGAATACAATTAACACTGAGGTCAAAACATTTGTTTCTTTGACTTCATGTAATGTGAACATTTTAATTTCCTTGGATCTGGAACATGAAGGATCTCACATGTTTATTTGAAGAACAAAAGGATGATTAGAACAAAAAGCAGTCATTTTTATTCACCTTTAAAAACATTTAAGTGTAAAATTACCACTCTGCAAAGCCAAATGATAGTTGCATAGTTTTTATCTCCAAGAATGCCACTAGATTTCATATGGGCCCTGGGGAAATTGAAAGAAAACATGATAGATGGCCATATCCCAGAATTTTGCTTCTCTACCTGGGTGCCAGAAATCAGAATTAAATTGGTCGCTGAAAGATTGTCCGGAAGGTGTAGGGGTGATAGCTGGTATTTTCACCATATTCCTTTTTGGTAGTCATTTTGTGAGAATGCCTACAACATGGTTTCAATATTCCAAAAGTGTATTCTAGCTCCCAGAGTTTAGGGGCCTCAACTGGAGTGTATGCATAGTTGGCTGCTCAGCTCAAGAATGCTTGAATCGGGACCACTGAAAGAAATGCAGGGTCTCTAGAGCTGGAGTAAAGGGAACCAGCATCTACTGTATGTGACACTGCATATTCATCACTCCACTTCAAGTTTAAACGTCAGGTTTAGAAATGCGTTTTTCATAATTAAGCCCAATTATTAAAACATCTGAAGTAGAAAATACAGAGAATGTCAGAGTAATTATTATTGGTGCATGAAGTGATGACTTATAATAGATGTTAACGCCAAGTCATGTGTGCAGCAATTTGGTGAAGTTCTTGAATTGGCATGAGATATAAGAGAGGTCCAAAGCCTACAAGACATTCTTTCTAGAATAAAAAGAGTCAGTCTCTTTTTACTTCATTAGCTAGTATTATACTCACTAAAAGGAATAATCTGAGAATGAGCACATGCATGTTCTTATCCATATTTAATGAAATCCCAATAATGAGATGCCAATAATACCAGTAATATGAACAATAACAATCAGTCCAATTACGAACAATATGTTTGGATTTAAAACTTAATATGAAACATGATGAACAAAGAATTTACTTTAATAGACAAATTGTCTTGGTTTTGGAGACAGAAGAATATCTTCAGTCTGGGAAATGCAGTTTCAGTAAATATGGAAGGATCAAGATGAGGAAACCTGATATAAATCTGAATTCTCTTCTGTACTCCTACATCCCTCTAGGTTTTTGATGGCTGGATTCTAAAGGGTGAGAAGTTTCCTAGCTCTTTGGATCATCCTCTCCCCACTTCTGAAAGGTATAGAGATTTATGTGAAGCTGGAGCTAGCCTGACCACCATCAGGTCATCTCAGAATGTTGCCATGATCTTCTTCAGGATTCAGGATGCAGGGAGTGGATTCACATTAACAATAAAGAAGCAGCCTAATCTTTTCCGTAAGCTTGTTTTCGTTTTATCTTCTGAAATGGCTGTGATTTCTTAGAAGAACAATAGTGTAGCCAAGCTATGATAAAATAAAGAGAAATAGTATAGGTACTGATACAGCAAAGGTTCAATCAGCTTGACTATGTTTTCTTGCCCACAATAGAGGCATGCTTCTCTAAACTTTTTCTGACTTCCTAGTCTACTCTACCAGCCCTGAAATTTTCTGGCAGTCTCCCATTCAAACACTATCCAGGCTCACCCCTCTGTTTTTTTGTTTTCATTTTTAAGAACAACCATGATTGGCTAAGTCAGTGGTTCTAAATCTTTGGTCCGTGGAGCCCGGGGGGGGGGGGTCTGTGATGTCATCACAAGGGGTCTATGAAGGTTTGAAGAAATGTTATGATTTAAATGTTGAATTAAGTCTTCGGGGTCTGTGGCCATGATCCATGGTCACAAAAGATATTTAAAGAGGGTCCATAGTTGAGAAAAGGTTGAGAACCACTGGGCTAGGTGCTGCAACTTAACTGGGCAAAGGTACTGACTGCTGGGCCATGATCAAATAACAATGGAGGGCCCTTATTCTGGCTCTTTAGGCATGATTTGGCATAGGCATTTAGAAATCATTGAAGTCATTAAAAAATAGAACTCTTCCCTGAAGGTACAATAAGAGCATGCAAAGAGAAACCAAAGAGAATTTGGTTGAGTTGGGCAGCTATAGAATTTGAATGAATGAATGAATGAATAAATAAATAAATAAATAAATATTAATGACCACAAATTATTTAACCAAAGCAGCAACAAAATGATTTCCCTCTGTTCTTCCTAAAATTAGACTAAAATGAGGAAAGCTTATAAGATTCTCTTATATAGCCACTTTCAATAAAAGTAGCTTTAGCCTTTATATGGGGTTGATTTTTGAGTCTGGTTTTCCTCGTGGGGTTGAGTGTGCTTTTATAAGATGCATTTACATGGCATAAAAAGGTTGGCAAATTGATTGACTTTTTACAAAAAAAAAAACCACCTTTCTCCTATCCTGCCAACGTGGGAACAATTTAGGTTTGATGTGGAGAACACTTAGGTACAAACATTGGAAGCTATTTGCCACTATGGATTTTCCCCCCCTACTAGATGACATAGCATCTTCAGTATTATTTCAGTAAAAATAGGTCAATAAGCAATGGTTATTTTCTGTTGCTTCCAGTGTTATATTTGCAACCCTAAATTGAAAAACTCATGCCTGATTTTTGAATGGGAGACACTGTTGGAATACCTCAGCCCAGCTGATTAGCATCTTATCTGTGTTGGTGCCAAGACCTCAGATAAAAAGTCTGCATTCCTTTTTAGTGAACAAATTGTGACTCAGTAATTCTGTATCTTCCCCTGTACTAAAGCTTGCAATATCATCTCCCAGACTCCTAGTGGAAGGTTTACAATGATTGTTCCTCATCAGCATCGGAACTGCAGTTTTTCCATTATCTACCCAACATTGATAAAAATATCTGATCTTAACCTGGGGCATCTGAAGGGCTTTCGCTTGAAGGTGAGTTGTCAGTTTCTTCCTTATGCATCTGCTACAGGGTTACACGATCCAGCAAATTTGCTGCTAGTCCTTGTGGCCACATCTGGCCTTTTTTTCTATTTGTTCCTTGCCTCTTTATTTTTATGCCAGAACCATTTGTCTGATACTAAGTCTGGAAGGCAGTACCCATGTGTGGATTTTGAACTTTCCATCCTCCTGTTCAGCACAGGTCAAAAAGAAGGACAAAATGTTTTCTGATACATAAAACGTTTTCTGAACTATATTCTTGTATATGAGGAGATCTCCTAGTTCCGGGGTAGGCAACCTTGGCTCTTTTATGACTCATGGACTTCAACTCCCAGAATTGCTGAGCCAGCCATGCTGGCTCAGGAATTCTGGAAGTTGAAGTCCACGAGTCATAAAAGAGCCAAGGTTGCCTACCTCTGTCTAGTTTGATGTAAATAGCAGAGTTGTTAGCTACTATACAGGACAAACCCATAAAGTGGTTATTTGGTTTTGGCTTAGCATGATGTTTAAGTAATTATCACTTATTCATGTTAGGTTAAAAATTCAATGGGACAAGGACAGCCATCGTTCATTACATCCTGGCTCCCGAAGCTTCTATCATTCATGAACTCTGCATTTAGAATAGAGTCATCCCTCTGGGAAGCAAAACCTTTTTAAAAAGAGAAATCTTAAAAAGCTTCTTGAATTTTTATGCCCTTATGTGATATTTCATTTAACACTCATTTGCATGATGTTTATAGAAACTAGCAGATTCTTTGGAATCTTTTGTGTGGAGAGTTGATTTTTGCTAGGATCTCTGGGAGTGCAGGGAATCTGAATTACAATCTTTGCGCTGTCCCCTTGCTTGTAACAGCAATGGTAAACTTTTTGGGCTTTTGTGCGTCAAAAATTCAGAAAATGCTGAACTGAACTTTGCTAGCCTGTTACCCCCACGCCAGACAAAAGAGAAACAATTCATAACAAAGAGTCACTTTGGATAGTGAAATGGAAGGCATACCTGTGTTTCCCCGAAAGTAAGACCCAGCCTTATATTATTTTTGCCTCCAAAAGAGGCATTACGTCTTATTTTCGGGTGGTGTCTTATATTTTTCGTGACACCTGCCTTGCCTCGTGGCAGCGGCACCAACAGCCCTATCCAGCAGAAGCCCGCATGGCTGCTGGCCCACTTCTGCTGCGGCCTCTCGCAGCAGGAGGCCGTGCGGCACATTGTGCCTCTGCCGCCATGACATGAGGCAGGTGGGGGAGGGAGTGGAGCTGTCCCATGCGCCCCACACCCGCTTCCTTCAGGCGCTTCCTAGCCAGGCCATTCCTTGCTCCCTTTCACTCCCCTCCCGAGCCGGACTGCCATGCTACCCTAAGGAGGATGGGCGGGGAGGCCTAGTCCCCCTCTGCCATTTTGGAGCCGGGGGGAGTGATGACAAAAGGCTCCACTGCTGCTGTGCACCGCTGGAGAGGCTTTCTTCACGCTCCACCCCACAGATCACCTGTCTGGCGGCAGCTGCCGCTTCCTTCTCCTTCGTCAACTCTCCCATGGCTTGCACCATGACCGGGCGGCACAAGCCCCCCCCCGCCACCTCCCTCCGTTGCTGCCACTGGAGAGAATGGAGAACTGGAAACGGAGCGGCTCTGCGCACTGATGCAGAGCAGAGAAAAGCACTTGCTTGCCACCCTGCATTGCCCCGTGTCTGCCTTCCCCATTCTCAAAATGGCAGCCCCATTTCCTGCTGTTTCTGCTCCCAGAAGCAAAACATTTCAACATTAACCTGCTTTCCAGCTCTGGCGCATTTCTTTCCTGCTGAAATGGACTTTGTGGGACTAAAAAAAGTTCAGTCAGACCTCCAACTTCTCCCAAATGCTTCCCGTTCTCTGGTCTCTCTAGTGGTGGTGACGGAGGGCTGGTGGAGAGAGGCGACAGAGGAAGCTTGTGCCGCCCAATCATGGCACAAGCCATGGGAAAGTTGGCAAAGGAGGAGGAGGCGGCTGCCTCCGGACAGGTGATCTGTGGGGCAGAGCGTGAAGGCTAGCATGGCAGTCCGGCTCGAGAGGGGAGTGAAAGGGAGCAAGAATGGCCTAGCTGTGGGGGGGACCTGAAGGAAGCGGGTGCAGGGCACATGGGACAGCTCCACCTCCTCCCCCATTTGCCTCTCCTCATTGTGGCAGCAGCAGCAGCAGCGCGATGTGCCGTGCAGCCTCCTGCCCCATTGCGGCAGCCAGGTGGAACAGAGTAGACGGAGTCCTAATTAGAGCTTATTTTTGGAGTAGGGCTTATATTAGGCCCACACCCAAAAATTAGGGTAGTTCTTTTTGGGGGGTGGGGTTTATTTTTGGGGAAACACGGTATCAATTTAAGACACATATACTGTACATAATAATTGTAATTTTTTTGTTTTTGATTCTCAGAAAAATCTGAAGCAGCTCCAGGTCACACAAAGTCTGGAAACTAAAGAGAATGCTCTTGCATGCCTTTGCAGTCTCTGAAAATAGCGGGAAAGCATACCCTGTTGTCGCTCATTTTTTGGAGGCTCCAGAGGTTGAGTCCTCTTGTGTGACTTCCAGAGGGTCCAAAGGTCACGTGAGAGCATATCACATTCTTGTGCAGCCTCTGGAGGTTCTGAAAATCATGTGAGAACTTCCTACACTTTTTGGAGGTTGCAGACGCCGCATGAGAAGTGTAGTGTGCTCCCTCATGGCCTCCAGACCCTCTGGAAGTTGCGCAAGAGGACTCTGCTCTCACACAGCCTCTGGAGCCTCCAAAAATTGTGTGAGAATGTTCTTGCATGGTTCTTGAATGCTTCAAAGGCCCCTCAAGAGCAGGGCCCTCTCATGCAACTTTCAGAGGGTCCGAAGACTACATTCTCACATGGCTCTGGGCATGTCAGCAAAAATGACATAGCATATTACTTGTGACATGCGTGCTATAGATTTGCTATCACCGGCTTATAGCAATCTTTGTGAGTTCTCAGTATTTTGAGGCTGTGAAGATGATTACAACTCTACCCTGAGCTACTTTGAAAGATTGAAAAAGAACTTCATTAATCAAAACTAAAACACACATCATTATTTTGCATAATCTTATAAATCTCATTTACTAAAATAAACTTGCATTTTAAATTATCTACTTAACATGATTCCATGTCCTTCTGCTTTTCCTTGTACACAGAAACCAACTGCAGGTTGCAGAGGCACTGGAGATTTTATGGAGTTGCTGGGAGGAAATGGGTTAGACCCTTCTAAGATGCTTCCATTGGCTGATCTTTGCCATTCTTTTAGTGGCCCTGGTAATCTCTTGTGCTAATGCTTCTTGTTCAAATATTTTCTCAAAGTAATATAATAGGGCTATCATATCTGTAAAAGGTCAGATAAACTTTAGAGGGCAGCAAAGAGGAAGGCTATTCTTTGTTTTCATCTAATAGACATCCAGATTTTGGCACTACAGTATAGACATCACAGATATAAAAAAGATAATTATGTAAACTAATTGCTTGGGATTTTTCAGCTTTCTAGTAAAAAAAGCATGACAAAGTGTATTGAAGAAAAACAGCTTTTCTGCTATTTATCTGCATTCTAATTTATGCCATTGTGGTCTGTTTAATCAATCTCATGGCTTCAGATGCACTGCAGCTGCAACTGCCCAAATTTTTTTTTTGCAACAAATCTAGACAACAGTCAGAATGTGGAAGGTCATGCATTTTTTTGCGTTAAGGAATAAAGACTTTGCAATAAAAAATGATATTTTTGTACAAATTTCTTTTCATGACAGAGATTAATACAGGAGACTAGCAATGAGTGTTAAAAAAAAAAAGGTCTTATCTTGTAAAAAGAGTTTTGCTTAGCTGGCGACCAAGCCCTGAGTGGGTATCAGTCAGTGTCATCACTGGTATGTGCAGATGGTCTCACAAATACCATACAGCAAAGTGGGAAACTTGAAAGTACAGAGGCTTTATGCAGCCCCCAAACATCTCTTTTGCTATTCCATGCCTACCCTGTCTAATCACAATTGCCAAAAATTATTTGATCTCTTTTTGAGTCAGAAAACACGAAATGATTGTAGCTTATTAGAAACTAAGACCTACAGACATGCCATCTCCTGCAAACTCTGTCCACTATCCAGAAAAAAAACAACTTATGTCCATACCCAAGTAATCTGTATAGCCTCATTCTTCTTGTATTATTGCTCCCACCTACCATGGCTCTTAGGGCCTCTTGGCCCTGAAAGTCTTCCTTCTCAATCTAGATGCAATTGCACACTATGATGTATGCAGCATGAAGACATGGGAAGACCTAGCTCAGCTAAATACCCATACAGTAAGGTATTTTTCCCTTCTATGCAACTTAGTGAGGCTTAATCTTTTCTATCTGAGAGTTGTAAATGATGCTGAGTGTAAACTACTTTCCTCCAAATGAACAAAAACCTTCACAATATTTTCACTAACCATTCACTGTCAGTTGCTTCTACCTTCTATTGCTATTTTTGTAGTTACAATTATTTTTATTTTTCAGGAAATCAAGTACAATATAGCTCATATGATGAAATATTATTGTGTGCATTCAAATTTGGTTTAATGGGTGTTAATGAAGATAAATTAAACACACTTGATATAAAGATAGTGCCTCTTGAATTAATGCCTCAAGAATTATTCTTTTAATCAGGGATCCTATAAAGAACAGTATATTGTTGTCATGTTATATTATCAGTTAAATTGGTCATACACTGATCTTACTGAGATCAGATTAGGCCATTTCAGGGTAAAGGCAATGAATCCAGAATAGGAAAAATATTTAACCTTTTTTTTGAAGCCATCAATGAAATCAGTGTGAAGGCATTCTTTGATAGTGATTTAGTATATTAATAAGTTTTTGCAATCCTCTTTGCAATAATGTACATTTTAATGTGGAAAGAAGATGCCTTGTTAGATATCATATGTCCAGATATTCACTGCAGCATACACACGTCTAATCTTCATGCATGATAGTGCATGAAGATGGAAGTTGCTTTTATCCATAGACACAGATAATTTTTTCTGTATAGGGGCAGTAGGGTATAAAGTAATGATATAAGCATACCTTTTGAAAATTTGTACACGAGTCCTGCATATAAAAGTACAATCCATTAAAGTTGTTTAAGATCTATAGATTTTTTAAAGCAATTAAAATAAAATCTAAATTATTTCTCTTTGACTAGCTCAAATGAAGATTGACTGTGACAACACTGTACTGCGGTTAGTCTCAAGTGGAAAGCATATCAATCAAGTAACCTTTGAATACTACCAGTTGGATCAATATGAACAGGAAAAGAACAGCCTCAATGAATTTTGTCTTTCAAGCATTTGAAAGATCGGACAAGTCTCTCGTCCTGGAATGTATTAATTTTGAGCAGCTAAATTGGTGAAACACTTCTGCCGTTTAAGCACTTTTCATATAAAATCATTATTTCCATGAACATGATTAGAACAGTATTACTCATAGCATTTTCAATACATTGTCTTTTTCCTGTCTTTAAGAGTATTTAATATATCCAAAACATGCAAATCTGTACAGATTCCAAAAGCTGTCTTTAGGCATACTTGCATCCATTGATTCCAAATGTGATATGTTGTTGCTGCATCAGGGTGCCTTTTTTGAAGGGCCACAAATGTTCAAATACATGCACAATTTTTTGAAATCAGAGTGTATGTACTTATTTTAGAACATTGCTAAATTCAATTTGCAGTTTACCCTCTTTAGGTGTCAAATATAAAAAGACTCACATAGAGAGAAATGACATTTCAATTTTATAAGAGAATACCACAGTGCACAAATTTAATTGCCAGTTAGTTTATTTAAACAAATGTATATTCAGTTTTTAATAAAAATTTATAGCATGAAAAAAAGATTTTGCTTTTATTGGTTTAAACATAATAAATACATTCATAGTATTGACCAAATTTAGTTGTACAGTTTTGTTCCTTGTGACTTTCATCAATTGGATTTCATTGTACTAGAAACAACAATTATACATTTAGTTAATGAGAATGTTAAGTAAATTTATATACAATAAACCTTTAATACCAATTTTAATTGGTAAAATTAGATTGGTGGATCAACATCCATGCATAGGGATTGGAATACATTTCCGTTGTATTTATTCATTAAGGTAACTTTTCAGAATTGGACTTATTAATATTCTACCACAATTTGATTCCTAATAATATACCTGCTAATATCTTGTAACAAGACTATGACACTTTTATAAAATGTGAGCCTCCCTAAATCTAAAGCCTGTCTACTTCAAAAATCCATTCAAAAATCCATACTGAAGCTATACTCCCCATAGTTGACTGAAAGATTGGAATATAAATGCAAGCTTTTCCAAGAATTAAAAAAAATGGGTGGAATCCAGTGGAAAACAGGGAGGGCTGAAGAGAAGAATGTGGCAAATATTCAAGACATGCCTACATTCTTAATTGGGAAATGAAACATGCAAATGTGGCCTTATTAGAATATTGATGGTGTCAAGTTGCCCCATGGGCTTTCCCAAATTTACTGGGGAAAAAGTGGTACTATCTGTGGGGAAGACCTTTTAGAATTCTACCCTTGCCGTTCAGTGTGATTATCTCCGGTGCTTTAGCAAGAAATAAATCATGAAACCATCTGGGATGCTTCCCAACTGAACACTCCTAGTGCTATCATTCATAAAGTATTGGCTGAATTGTCACACAGTCCAATTTTGCTTAATCACAGCTTTGCACATTACATGATCATAACCAAACAAATAACATGGCTTTTCATGATGTGCTGATAGAATAATTAGTTGCAGTCACACATCACCCCAAACTCCTAAATCTCATAAATGAAAAAGTACTGTAGATGGGTGCATCCTGAACCATTGGAATATATCTATACCAGGGTAGGCAATCTTGGCTCTTTTATGACTTGTGGACTTCAACTCCCAGAATTCCTGAGCTGGCTGGCTCAGGAATTCTGGGAGTTGAAGTCCACGAGTCATAAAAGAGCCAAGGTTGCTTACCCCTGAATAGTTATACCGTTAGTTAGTTAAAAATAATGTCAGTGTCTGATCGTTTATATAGATATGATTATTTGTCGAAGAATACTTGGAAAGAACTCTAAGTCCAAGTCTCTAAACAGGTCTGAATTGATCTAGACAGAAATGAATAAAGTAACGTAGGACCTTTTCCAAATCACCATCAACATCTTCATTATCAACATGACATAATCTAGTAGAAATATGGAGGAGGAGGAGGAGGAGAAGAAACATCTTACAAAAACAGGAAGGAAGCGTTTGGCATGTCAAACTAAAACGGAAGGATGGCAAAAGCAAAAGTAAAGAACCGAGGTCAAGAAGACAGGACACAACTGAAGAAGCAAGAGGCAAGGATGGAGACTCAGGTTTTCACAGGACATTATCACAGAGATATCGGTAAGTGGTACTCAAAATTTCAGCTATTTCTATACCAAAGAATATGGGAAATATACAGAGAGAACTAGGGATGATAACTCAGGAAGACGAATATGATATAACAGGCATTACTGGTACTTGATGGGATGAGAGTCAGGATTGCCACATAGCACCCAAAGGATACCATTTATTCAAAAAGGACAGACCCAGGAGAAAGTCAAAGAAGTCAAACTATATTAAGAAAAATGTATTCAAACATATTTACAACAGAAACCTTGTTGTAAGTTTTTGGACAAGCCTAAAAACAGGGAGAAACAAAAGCAATATGATTGTGGAAGTTTATTACAGATGTCATTGGCAGGCAAGAGAAACAAATGAGGCTTTTCTGTATCAGGTGACCAATTTTTCAAAAAGACACGTAAGAGTGATAACGGGGGATGTCAGAAATCATGGGCGCTCCATCACTGGAAATTTTCAAGAAGAGACTGGACAATCACCTGTCTGAGATGGTATTGGTTCTCCTGCTTGAGCAGGGGGCTGGACTAGAAGACTTCCAAGGTCCCTTCCAGTTCTATTCTATTCTAATTATCCTAACATTGTTGTTGTTAATTGCAAAGTCGTGTCCGACCCATCGCGACCCCATGGACAACATTCCTCCAGGTCTTCCTGTCCTCTACCATCCTAACATTACCTGGGTATATAATTCTGTCTAGAGGTCCAACACATTTCTTTTCCTCTCTTGGTGACAATCTAATTTCTCAGAAAGTGGGAGAGAAGAAGGGTGTCTGTTATCCTGGAATTTATTTTAACTAAGAAGGAGGAACTGATTGAAGGAGTGATGTTGACCAGCATCTTGAGGGAAAATGGTCATGCTATCCTTGAATTTATAATATCCAGAGGACAGGAAGCTAAAAAGAATCTCACTGGCATACTAAATTTCAGAAGAATTCATTTTCATGAATTCAAAGACAAAGTGGCTCAGATCCAATGACTTAGAATTCCTAAAGAAGAAAGCTATCCAGCAAGGATGAGAAATCCTATAAAAGGGGATACCTAAAAGCTCAGTTGCAAACAATTCTCACAAGAAAGAAAAAAAAGGAAAAATTTAAACAGACCTGCCCAGATTCATGTGGAACACTCTAAAATAATGAAGAAACCAAATGACATGGATAGGAAACAGAACAAGGGAGACATAACTTATGAAGAATACAAGGTAGTCCCCACAAACTGTCAAGAAGGCTAACTTCAGAATGAGCTCAGACATGTGAAGATAGTAAGAAAAAAAAGAGGTGGGTTGGGGTTTTTTTTGGCTACATTAGAAATAAAAGGAAAGGCAAAAGGGTTGTAGGTCCATTGTAAAGAGGAATAAATCAGTAATGAATGATAGTGAGAAGGCACAACTTAACTCCTACTTTATGTCGAACCCAAAAGATAGGGCATGACCCTATGTAGCCCCACCTTTAAAAAGAGAAGGAAGGAAGTAAGTACTGGAAACTATTGATCTGTCAGCTCAATACCTCTATTGGGCAAGGCCATCAAACAGATTAACAAATAGCACTTTTTTGAGTGCTTGGATAGGCATGAAATTGTCTTAAATTGTACCAAACTAACTTTTTAATAGAGATACTAGCTTGGAGGATTAGGTAAATGTCCATAAAGACTTAGACAGAGTGTCTCATGATATTCTCCTTCAAAAAGTGGTAAAGCATCACCTGGATGATACCTATGAGATAAATTTATTATGAGGTAAACTTACAGTTGGCTGAGTGACCAAATCCTCTAAATTTTTGTTGATAGTTCAACTTTAACCTGGACAGGAGCATAAAGAAAATGCTACAGAAGCTGGGTCCTGAGTTTTGTACAGTTCACTATTTTGCTGATGACTTGGATAAGGAAATTGAGGGGGAGGTGACACAAAGCTGGGAGGGATGGCTAATACTTTAAGTGAAGAACAGAATATTTAAGATTAGGCTTGAATCTGAGATGAAATTAATAAGGTAGACTTTAACAGGGAGAATCTTGTTATGAGAAATGTACACATAAGGAAGAGAATGAGGGATGCATGGCTTGATAAGGATCTGAATGTCCTTGTTAACCAGGAGTTAAACATGAACTAGCAATGCAATGAAGCTGCTAAAAAGGAAAACGGTATTTGGGAATGCGTTCTTGGGATGTTCAGAAATAATTATTGGACCCCAGCAGCAATTGTTTCATTCTACTCTCCCCAGTCAGACCTTTTTTGGAAAGTGTTTCCCATTCTGGGTACCACTATTCAAAAATGACACTGAAAAATTGGAGTAAATTCAGAGAAGGTCTACCAAAATGGCGAAGGCTCTGGAAGCCAAATTCTAGGAGGAATGGCTAAAGGATCTGGATGTGTTGGCCTATGGAAAAGATGATAGAGGGTTAACATCAAATATCAGTAGGATTGCCACACAGAAGTGGCAGATTGACTCTTTATTACCCCAGAGAGCAAGAGCAGAGCCAATTGGTTAAAACTACAAGGGAGTAAGGAAGTACATCAGGAGGAACTTTCTGACTGAACAAGCTGTCACCCAGTAGTACAATGGCGCCTTCACTAAAGGTTTTCAACAGGTTATGTTCTGAGATTCTGTTCATAGATCCATTTTGTAGATCCATTTTGTTCATAGGTCCAAATAAGAGTATGCAGTGCTTTTTTTCTATATAAAAAAAAGGTGCCGGAACTCACACACGTCATACAACCCGCCTTGCCTACCCTACAAGGTTCCATCCAAAAAAGGTGCCGGAACTCCGTTCTGGGCGTTCTATGAGGAAAAAAAGCCCTGAGAGTATGTATGTAGTGCACTGTAAACTAACCTTCTCCTGACTTTCTGGATCTTCTAGGCTGGCGTTTCAGACAGATTTGTCCATATTGATGAAAGTTTGTACCTTGGAAGTTTGTAAGTAATGTCTGTAATAATTTTACCACATCTTGTACTGAGCAGAAGGTTGAACTAAATAACTCTATGATTCTAGAACAGAAAATAGTATAACACTCTGGAACTGTGCTATAAAAAGAAAATCCTTTTCAAGGTCTTGCTTCACATCAACCCATATAAAGAGACTTTGGGAAAAAATGCAGAGAAGAGCAACTAAGATGATTAAAGGCCTGGTGACTAAAACATGAAGAACGATTGCAGGAATTGGATATGGCTAGTTTAGAGAAAAGAAAGACTAGGGGTGACATGATAGCAGTGTTCCAATATTTGAGGGCCTAGAATCAAGGAGAAACTTCCTAACAGTGAGAAAAATTAATCAGTGGAATGGCTCGCCTCCAGAAGTTGTGGGTGCTCCATCACTGGAGATTTTTAAGAAGAGATTGGACAGCCATTTGTCTGAAATGGTATAGGGTTTCCTGCTTGATCAAAGGTTGGACTAGACTAGAAGACCTACAAGGTCCCTTTCAACTCTATTCTGTAAGCAA